TGAACAGATAGTAAGACTTAAAGGCAAATTCCGGGATTTCTGGCGAAATTTAGGTTTTCCCCGTCAAATATGCAGCAGTACGCAAGGGCAGACCATGTGCAGAAGTGGCGGGGCGTTTTGACAAGGTTTAGGCGCTAGGAGCCTAGGTTGGAGCATTGGCGCCGCCCCAACCCCATTGAGCCCGCCCACTGTTCCATGCGACCTTCCAAACAACCACATGGAACACTAGATAAGCTGTTATTCGGAAGGTCGTAGGAGGATAGGTGGCTCACATCGGGGTGTGGTTCACTAGGACAGAAAGCGACTTTTCGCGTTTCGCAGCGCGAAACATTTTCGCTGCGGGAACCTCAGGTCCACCGCTGATCATCAGTGGACCGAGGTTCCCGCAGAAAATGTTTCGCGCTGCGAAACGCGAAAAAGTCGCTTTCTGTCCTAGTGAACCACACCCATGACTTCAACTGTCAACTTCAATATCAAAGCTCACGTTACGGTCATTACAGGACTTTGCCACTCATTCTGATGAGGATCAAATTTTTAAAATAAGAAAAACAAACAAAAAAGCGCAAATAAACAGAAAAATAAGGAAAGTTGGAAGAAATCAATTCTCATCGCTGAGTTGTTATAGCCGTGTCGGTTGATGGCATAAAGCCAACAGTTGCTGTGAACACGTCCATACACGTTATCTTCCCAGCCCTGGCTTGTAAGCGACTAACGAAAAGGAAGTTATAATTTTGAACCATTTTGGGGGTGTTTCCTGCTTTTTTCTTCAGGTTCGATTCAGTTAGCACCCAGGGCTTCATATTTGTACAGAGAACTCCCACGTTTTATCCCGGAGTTTGCCTTCAAGTTGTGCGCGAGTTTCGCACGTTCCAACCCTCTCCCTTCCCCCCCCCTATCCCCCTATATTGGCGGCTTGATACTCCTCTTTCACCATAAGATCGACAAGAACCACGAAATTGCGTTTTTGTGAATAGAATACCTAGAAACCTAAGAAAACTAACTGAAAAAAAAACTAAAAACCTCAAAAAACTAACACTCAATTCCCACTCCATACTGTTGCGAACGTTGACGGCAGGGATGACTTCATTGGTATTCCAAGACGCCATCACCGAAAAATCGTATGGGAAAAATCTCACCTATGTCCCACTCTCTAGGCTCAGAAGATTGGATTCAATTTCCTACAGCGCGTCACCTAATAAGTGGCCGCTGCACCTCATACCTCCTTCATGCGCCCGCTCGGCTCTACACAAGTGTCCATGGATTGTCCAAAAGGTATCCGAAGTTGTTTCTTTCTGGAAACTGGTTATTCATGCATGAGGCTTTCTATGGTGCAACTAGTGATCATACATGATGCATTTCTGCAGGGACACAAGATGTTCTGGTGCACATTTCATTTAAAGGACGAATTCACGATTAGAATGAAGGTCGAAGAAGGAGTAATTCACCTAGTTGAGGGACCCGCGGACCTCCTAAGGGTGCGGACTGAAGCGCAATTGGCACCGAAGGAGTTGACCTCGGTTATTAAGGCTCAATCTTGGCGCGGCGGGCCTGTGCTGCGCATGTGCACGCCTCGATCATTGAGCTAGACGATCGCCGGAAAGTTCTAATCAATACATGCGAAGCTCGTTTAAGGCGATGCATTTGCAGAGTGCCGCACCTCGCGATGCATGCTTGACTGCACTCGCGCGCAGTCGTATAGCTCGGCGCTGAGGGGGACTAAAATGCGTACCGAAGAAGCAAGTTTGATGTGAGCGTAGAGGAGAAATTTAGCAGTTCAGATTGTAGTAGACAGGTAAAATGCGAATCAACTCGCTCACATATACGTCAGAATTCGGCGCCAGACGCACAATGGCGTCTGGCACAGGCATATCTCAACTTACAATCTGGGGTTATTTGGGCGGTTCCGTGCATCAGGGTTTTCCGTGCTCTGTTCGTTGTGCACATCACATCCCGAGGTTAATAATGAGTGCTGTTTATATATAGCGGAATTCTTTCACTTTGGGCACTTGGGACGATGAGCCACGGCACAAAATCGCGTCCGCCACTTTCGACGGACCACAACGGACAACGCGGGACGTATGTGTCCTGCACCCAGTGCATTCATTTTTTTCTCGCACACGTGATTCATTTTTAGGCTTCTTGTATTCATTCCATAGAGAAAACCTTAACATAGATAGAAACATAGTCGCTCTTAGAGTGGTCACGTGTGCTTCAAATTAGGGGAGGTTTTCTGAACCGAACGAAATCGTCAACCCAGTTGATTTTTTGTTTACATTTTCTTTTCATGAATGTGAATATTTAAAGGGTAGTAGAAGTCAATACGGAACCTCAAGATGACAAGATATGTGTTTTGATTGCAATAATCGGTGCAAAATTGCTTTTGACGTTCATTGCAGCTGATTCTGACAAATTTTGCTTTTTCACTATTATTTCATCCGACTTTCGACCAAATTTTCACTACTATATCTCTGGGGCGCTTCTACGCACTGAAAAAGACTAATCTAACTTTGTATCAATCATGTTTTATTCATTTACCATGCAAAATTCGCCTGAAGGACCTGAGGCGGCGGCGCTCGCAAAATCGCGCCGGTCCCACGCGGTCAAAGAAGCCAAAACGCGCGTTGTCGTCAACGTGTTAAGTTATGTTCAAAGCGTGCAACCTAAAGCAATTTTAGATGTCGAAAAGGTTTCCGCCCCGATCTTTTTTTGATTATTTTGATGACCAACGGTCTTAGGTATGCGCCTTCACACGCATACCACAACACTCCTACACAGGGGCAACTTCTCTGATTTGGATGCAAGGACATCATAAGTCATCAATTGCCTCCCTGAGATAAAAACGGAAGCTGGATGAGAAGAAGATATTATCTGGGTAGGACAAGGCGGACGAAAACCCAAGGGAATATCAATCGGTCATATTTTTCTGATCCAGCCTGGAATGCTTCGTCATGTGATCCGTGATCGAGGTCGATGGCCGTCAGGATCATGAGCATACAACTCGTCAGACACCATTAAAAAATTTTTCAGAGCATTCGGCACGTGAAGCTTCCAGAATAATGAAACATGATTCTTCGAACCCGACACTTTCTTATAAATTGTAGAAAGGCTGCAGTCAAGAAGACAGAGTATATCTTTTGCTACATTTGAAAAATTAGGGAATCCTTGTGTTTATTTTCAGCTTTTGCTCATTGAATGTTTGTAGGTTACCTGATGCTTTTAGGTATTGATGGCTACGACTCTACTCGGTTTTGCTGTGTTTCTTGTGCTTAAATGTCTACCAACAATAAATTATTTATTCAATCCCGTGGCTATTCAATGGATAACGCCTTCACAAGATCACGTGATTTCCCACATTCTCAGGGCTTACTCCAACTGGATCATAGCAGTCTATGTAGCGCTCTCTGCCATCTTCTACACAGCAATTTTTCTACATATTAAAATTGCGGTGAGCTGAAGAAAGATTGCTTATGTCATCGAGAAATTCACTCTCCCAGCGACATCGGAACGAGATAAGGTCGGGTAACAGATCGAGCACACGGATGAAATATTCAAGATGCATTTAAAACATATGAACTATCGCTAGGTACCTCGTTATCACGTTACACCTGGTCGTAAAGTAATGTATTTATTATCTCTCTCCACCTTTCCACAGCTTCAAACATATCATTATAGAATTGTAAAAAAACGAGTAGTCCACGCAAAATCACATTCTATGAAACCTCGTAAAGTTCCGTCTCTTACGAATCCCCACTACTTTCATGCTTTAAAAGTTGCTGAACTTCCCCATATTTGACAAGTAAGCATGCGCGCTTTTTTGGGAAAGCCCACGTAAGTGGTTAGGTCCCATGAATATGAGATGTTCTCACTGTTAATCCTCATTTGAACGTGAATTCACCAAACTATTCTATAGCATTGATTAATCGAATCACTCCAATCAGACAGTGAGTTTGTGACAGCGTTGTTTTTTTTTCGTTCGCACAACCATTGTTCTCTAATAATTACATCTGAAGAGTGATGCAGCGCTGACTACAAGGGCTGTAAATTATAGCTACAGTTCGACACTGCCCATAATATTGAAAGAAGATTCCACGACAAGAACGAAGGTCGAAGAAGGGGAAACTCACCTCGTGGAAATGCAGGCGGACACTGCGAACCAACACGCACTTCGCAGTGAGGGATATGCCTCCGGCGATCTTGCATGGTCTCGCTTTCAAAGCAATTGGCTCGGAACGCCCACCGACATAAGAGAGAGCGTTAGCCTCGAGGAGGCCACGATGAGATTCGCACCAATGCGAGAATCAAATAAGGGGCCACTTCTCGGGTTCCGGGCTGTTACATGGTTTCTTCTTCATCCCTAGTTTGACCACCCTTACTTCCAATAAGTTCATCTTTTCATCATAAAATCCGCCTCTGAATTATCGAAAAGGTTTCTGCTGTGAATATTCCATGTTTCTTTTCACTACACTTTTCGGAACTTTCCTGTAGTGCTTATGTTACATTCGAGAGAGCATTACTTCTTCTGCAAAGATTTCGAACCTTTCTCGATGCACTTTATTTCAATCAGTATTGTTATTTTTTCTCCTGAACATTTCAAATAGAGGGTCTATGCAGCAAGTAATCACGTTTGTGACCGATGGTTCACTGCATGTTCCTCCATAATCAAGAAATCAGTATGGGATACTTGTTTCGCTTACAAGGGAAATCTTTTTCGAGCAACGACTGGCTCATTTGAAACGCTTAGAAGGAATGGATGACTAGCCGAGCTCGGAATGCCCTATACAGATCGACGAACAACATTTTTTGGCATTCTACAAGGCAGAAATTAGCCGAACACTCATAAGATTGGGTGAGAAGGCTGGAAACAATATGCTTGCTGGCGCCCGTTTCTTTGACATCTGGCGGAGGAGCAATGTTCAGAAGACATAGAATATACAATCTCCGATTTTTAATTGATAAGCGCAAATTCGTAGAGCATTCGCGAAGCATTTCCGCAAGAGGCACACAGGGATATGTGCTCTGGTTTGTCACGGTGCCGATTTCGAAAGAGCAGTTTTCAGTCATTGGGAACCACGGATGACGCTAAGGCGCTTCACCGTAGATTGCAACAGGAACTATCGACATCATATTGAGCAAGACCTCCTCTCTCATTTTAACTGGCCGATGTCAGACTTTGCGATTGGAGCGATTTTGCACCAATTGCAGGAGCGACGGATCGCTCCAAATGCGAGCGACGGGAGATTTACCCCGCCGACGACCGATACACACGGCGCCGCTCGGGTAAATCTCCCGTCGCTCGCACTTTGGAGCGATCCGTCGCTCCTGCAATTGGTGCAAAATCGAAATGCAAATCGGTCCAATCGCAAAGTCTGACATCGGCCACTAGGCGTTGCTGGTCATTTGCTTAGCGAAATATACGGTATCGAATATAAATCTTGGTTGGGACACCCATGCACTGTCAAGACTCCACAGTAAAGTCGCATTGAAGATACAGAGGCTAGCACACATACTATGCCAGCGAAGCTTGCGTGTGATTATGAGACGGCGTCAAGTTTTAGATAAAAACCGGACACTTTTCAAATTTGTAACTAACATAAACGCTACCACCGTGTAACAACCTATGTTCACTCGAAAGGTTTTTACCTAACAAGGGAAGGATACCAGGTCGAAGTGGCCATTTGTAACGAGACATACACCACTAGATGTGTTTTTGGACGCTGATCTCGAATCTGCTCTCCAAATCTGCGAAACGATTCTCTGAACGTAGTTATGAAGCGAGATAGTGCAGTGGCAGCGGCCCGGCCGACGAACAAGAGGTCGTGAGATCGAGTTCTTGGCGAGTTCTCACTTTTGCTTTTCTTGAGAACGTTGTTAAGGGACTCTTATCCATGCTAAGTTATCAGCGATTGCCTATAGCACAAGTAAACAGAGCTGGCGAAGAGCTTCGAGCACTGTGCGCGTCATTTGCAAGTGACCGCCTCTGACACCCGTAGCGCACGCGTAAGGCAATTTCGTGCCAAGCAGATGCGATATTCGTGTTCAGCGCGTCGAAACACCCCTTTCAACAACATTTGGTCCAAATCTAAAATTTTGACTTGAAGTCGAAAATGTGGGCAGTCATCTATCCATCAACCCACTGTCAGAGCCTGATCGTGGGATTGAATTAAACTTTCAGTCATTATTGTGAAAGAGATATAGTTGCCTGCTCTACTTGCTCGTGCCATCCGAAGATTAATATGATATTTTTTCATGTACACGCTCGCTGCCCAGGAGGAGCAGGAGGGTAGTGGCTGGGGCTAGGGATAACACCTACGACTCATTGTAGACCGAGTTTCGAAATTGGGTCCAAATGTCAGCTTTCTAGAATTAAGCCTTCAAAGATAGTTTGGTCCGTTGAGCAAGCATCTCCCATTTGTTTAGCCCATCGTCGGATATACGTCACTTCCGTGGCGTAGAAACACCCCGGCAGTGGTCGAAACATTACGAAAAAGTGGAATGCGTTAAACAAACCCCTCTAAACATGCGTTAGCTTTGGACGCAGTGAAAATTTCAACACTGAATAATTTTTTATATTTAAATTAGACCTAATTACAAAAAGCAAAAATCATGCCCAGCAAGATCCCATCCATGGTCTTACCACTGGAAGCCGCCAACACTACCACTCGGCCAAGCCGCCGCTGGAAGCCGAGCTCTGCCGGAGTCTCTTACAGTGGGCTTTCATTCGAAACAACCTCCGTAACACTTTTCAGAGAATCGTTTCGCAAATTTGGAGAGTGGATTCGAGATCAGCGTCCGAAAACACATCTCTGAGTATAGGTTTCATTACGGATGGCCACTTCGACTTGGTATCCTTCCCTTGTAAGTTGTTACTATGTTCCAACTTCTCCTCCAGCCGGGACAACTGCTTACTAGAGATGAAGTCTGAACTCTGATTCTGACACACATTGTGCAGTGTGGCTTTGACAGGGTGAAGACTTTTCCCTAATGCGCGTTCTGCAGAGCACTCATTTTTTTCATGTATTTAAAAAAATTTCGGTTGTACCTTGCCCAATAAACTTCTCTCCAATAATTCTCCATAAACTGGGGAAGGGGGGGGGGCAGAGGCAGAAGTGGTGTGGCAAGTGGCACGCTTACCACGCGAGCGGTCCTGGAATAACAACCGCCACAACCTTTCGAATCCGTTCGAATGACCTCTACAAAATACTTCGAAGCAACGACAGAGTGATTCTATGCAAGTGTGCTTCTATCCGTTATTCCATTGAGTTCTTATTATTCCATTGATCCAGAACAACGAGTGATTATTTTCTTCCAGCGAAGTAATAAAACAACTAGACGTGAAAGGATTATTGTACTACAGGTGAGCAGCTTTCCTTATATTGCTTCATCCTTTACCAACACTCCCTCAACATCTTGGCAACAGGCGTCGTGGCTCTTTCGGTCGCTTCGGGCCAGCATGCTATAATAGCAAGCGCGGTCATTTCGACTCCTGTGTGAGTATTGATGGTAACACATAAAAACTGGCACAATATCAGTGAAATGAAGCTTATTGCGGAAAACTTATTCAATGTATAATTGTGGAATTAAGACCGAAATAAAGTACAATGTACATTATTTGGAACTAATCCTGCAACTGACGTTTCCATCATTTTTCATTCAATGAAAACACATCCTGCCATCCGAACGGATCTGCGTTTACTTGCACTGTAGTATTTTTAATTGCCATTCTTGTTGTCCCATGGCATGTTCCTCTCGCTTACGGTAGCAGCTCCTTCCATGTATTAGGTTGAAAGAAAAGATCTTGCAGTTTTGAATCCTCACGTTCAAATGTTCCTATCTCAACTCAAACACTATGTTCTTGTCCGTGATAAAAACTATTACCATGAACACTTTTTTTCCAATAATGTATGTGTTCAATCAATCCTTCGCTGGAAGCACTGGAATTCTAGAGGCAAAGAACTTGGCGATAGACCTCAAACCACAATGTTTGATTTCGTAGCACTTCTCAGGTGCTATCCAGACGGTTGACAAAGTGGCAATGAGTGAGTAAAAGATTTGTCTCACGGAACAGTACTCTGGCTAGTTCACTTTTTGCGGGGCCGGATCTGCGGTAGTCGGCTGAGATGCGTCGCAGAGAAGAGTCGGCTCTCTTTCTGGCAGCCTTTGCAGGGCACCTGTATCAAGGTTCCCGGGTAAATATCTCGCCGAATATACCAAACCACTGCAATAGTACCGCCTATGTACGGAGAGCTGTGCTTGGTGCGAGCCGCCTATCAGGCAGCACAACCTTTCTCACGCGTTTTCTCGTACCTTTACAAACTTTTGCTAAGAATGGCTTGATGGAACTTATCAGCCGAAGTTCACAGCTCGATGGAAAGAATCTACGCACATCACAATCCGAAAGAAAAACAGGTCGTTCCACTGGATGAAAGAAGATAGAAGAGGGCAGACAACTCTAGGAAACCGAGATTTTTTGTGGCACATGACTTTTCCGAACTTTCTAACCTAATCCACGTAAGCTGATGCCATGAATCGATTATGCCTGATTTAGTAGTGATCCTTTTTACATTTCCAGGCACATTTCATTCTATCAAATGTTTCAACTAATTTTTATCAACGTTCAGTCCAACAACCACACTCACCACCTTCGATGCTCTCACCATCGTGTCTCAATTCGGAACAGGAGAATCGTGCAGATTCTCGTTGTTATATAGGCGTTTTCAAGGCTTTGAGAAAGTTTGAGCAGCCGATACCGAGCCGAGCTGACAGTACCATCGGAAAGAGCAAGAACTGCGTCTTCTAATGGTATGCAATAGGTAGCTATGCTAAGAATTCACTCAGAGATAATGCTTTGAAAAATGAACCGGCGAACAGCAAGATTTCTTACAACCTAATGTAATCCAGATTTCATAGAGCTGTTAACTGCATATCACGCAATCACTTCCGCCCCAATACTTTGCACACCATCGCATTTTTTGGCCCACGTCACTCGGGAGTTTATTCAACCACAAGCTAAATAAATTGCTATGTACTGGCTCCTGTACAAATTCAGCTACATATTTCCATCAAAGATTTCATCTCTTTGTTATCGATTTCGAATATGGTGCTCGTGACAACACAAAAAACATTCACACGAGGAAAAATGAACAGCTTAATTGACCTTTAAGGAGAGTGGAGCAATTCTTGCCATGAAAGGCAACAAATCAATTAGAATCTTCAACAATGGATGCCGTTTGTGGGCGAAATCCACAGTTTTATGATCGATTCTTGCATATCATTATAGACATTCTGCTCCCTATTGTGCTTGTCATGCGCATTCATCTACTGGCAATTCATAAACCCTGTACTACAAGCTTCATCAGCGGTACCAGGCTTCATTTCTGGTTTGTTGTGGATGTGTATGAATGGTGCTAATCCTATCGTCTACATGATCATCAATAAGTAAGCCACTTTCCACAATTAAACTGTTGAAGAAAGCGTAAAGAGAACGCCACTATACTACATATTCATTTGGATTCGGCTAGTGTTTGGTGCATGGCGCCCTGAAGGCGGCAGTGTAGAGAAAACAGAACGGAAAGCGAAAAACACGGCTTCAGTTTGAAGGAGGAACTTCACGATGGAAAAGCAACCCATTTCAAATTCTAGGGATGGTGAGTGGTACACGAAAGAAAGAACCATGAGAAACGGCCCAGAACCCGAGAAATGGTACCCCTTCCTTGCCCGTTGATTTGCGCATCAAAGCTCTCAGGCTATTTAATCACTCGCCGCGTATAAACCTAGATAGGTAGTCGGTGGGCGGACCCCGCCAACCGCGCCAAGAGTGAGCCATGCTAGATCGCCGAGGTCAAATCTTTCGCTGCCAATTGCACGTCAGTCCGCACCCTCAGGAGAGTCCGCCGGTCTCTCAACTAATACTTAATTCTTATCGTGAATTCCCCTGAAGGAATGGGTTGAAGAAGCAAGGTCACAACTATTTCGAGCATCTTACAATTAGTGTTGATATCATAAGCAGGATTCTCGAAGCCTACGCAGACAACTCTGAGGCCTAATGTACCAATCACCAGTCTAATGCCACGACTCTCTGGGTTCCCTTCCGAGTACTCTGCCATCGTCCGTCACATGACCGTGTTTACCTCAGAATCTGCAAAAAAAATCCAAGGTCGTGATCCCTCTCAGACACTCTTCGCTGCAATCTACCGATCTTGCGACACTGTAAGCCTCCTGTATCCGCCCAGATGTGTAGCCATCGAAGTGACGAAGTCCTCAAAAAAATTGTAATGAAGTGCAGTATTTCTCTGATAGCAAAATGGTTAGGCGGCTGCAGTTGTATTCTCATTTGTCACCTATCACATCTCCAACTTACCAACCACCAACTACCATTATAAACAGCTAGTTGTCATGCTTTCGTTGAAGGCCGTCATCACTTGTGTTGTGGGCTCTGTAGTGCCCATGTATTCTAATTCCCCAGTCGCTGCACAAAAAGGGTATACTAGGTGTCAATATTATCATTATCATTATCAACATTCATCATTATGGAAGCTGTAGA